CTGATGATCTGCCAGAATGCTTTATTTACCGCCTGTGGATTCGGTTATAATATCTCTATGAATTTCCTCCAGGAATCAGCAATGGTTTTGCCTATGCTTGCTGCCGCCTTCCGGGCTCCGATGTATCGAATGTGAGTAAAAAATTATTTGCTTCCATACCATTTCTTGAATGTAGCCTTCCTCTTCCTGGCAGCCAGTTGTACCTCTCGTGTCTATCATTAAGTTTCGCTCTGATCTCCCTGCGGTACTGGATCTCTCACAGCGTACATTTCAACAGCAATTCAATGATCTTTGACGCCTCTGCGTCAATCTCCACCCGAATATCATAATAGAGCATCGCAAATCAAACCATGCTACTATAAAATCGATCATTGAGTGCACAAGTTTTCCCATTCTAAATATAACGATATACACTTTGATGCTCGAGGACGGTGTTCATGACAAACAGTCGGTTGTTCCCACAAAAGTATAAAGACCGCATTACAGCCGTTATTTCCAATTGCACTCGTGCACTTTTTAATGTCTGCTTCAGCATGCAAAATGAAATTACCAAGTAGAATGAACTGCTCAGCAGTCTGCATTTCGTATAGAACACATTTAATTTTCTCAAGGAAAAAGTCATATTCTCCCTTTAAATTGGGCACATAGACCTGTCAAGTCAACGCTTTAGCCTGTTATAGCTTCAGTTAGTAGGACTGCTACCCTTCCACTGACAGGCTTCCAATCAATAATTCTATCTGTGAGATTGGGTTCCACCAGAACACAAACCGGTCTCAGTGCGCTCCGTGATATCGACATTTAAATAGAATGGCTTCACAGAGGTTTAGGATTCCAACGCCTTGGCGTTTCGTTGACTAAAGTCTATCTATCTCGAGTTGATACCTTGTGGTTTCATGAACTAGCTCCTGCTCTTTCCCTCTGAGGGTGGATATATTCCAATTTATGATTGTAAGTTCCCACCGGCGGTGTCGTTCCCTGGATCCTTTTCTTACATAGTGTAATAGCATCGCGCTGTCTCCGTCCTCCGTTTAGAACGGGTAGAGATTCCGTTACTGATTGGAATCTTCGTTGTCCCTCTGAGAATGCTCGGTAGTCGTTGTCAAGCATCTACCCTTCCGATTACCAGAAGACAATGAGAAGGTTCTGATCGCCGACTTTCCGCAGTCAGCTACTGTATCCACAGCCTGTGCCCCCTTTGGTAACTCGGAGGTAGCTGACCACATATGATAGTAGATGACGGAATTACCATGAGGGACAAGTGAATAAGTTTTACCGAGACCTCCCCAGGTTTTCAACCCTCCTCCTTTATGATCCCGAGTGGGACGGCGGAGTTAAACTTCACTTGTTTAAAGTATTACTCACTGTCAAAAATATCGTTAGCTACAGGATAAAGTTAATTTCGTCTACTATTAATGAATTTTCAATTTGTCATAATGAACCTGCTAAATTCGGTTGGAGGACATCTGCTGAAGTCCACCAGCAAATCATCAGTTTCTGTGACTTGATACTTTCCGTCAAATGTAAATAATAATATAAAAGATATGGTTGCAGTTTTCGCAAATATTAACAGCCTGTAGCTTTAGTCTCTTGTAGCTTTACATGCAAAGTGTTTTTCTTCTTAGCATAACTATCGTAAATGATATAAAAGTTTTATTATTCGAGGCTACCATTTAAGGGTTTATAAATACTTTAGTGGCTTACAAATGTACATCTGAATGAAATTTTCATGGCAGATAATCTCATCTTCAACTTTAATGAAACCTTGCTGCTCGATTATCCTGATATTGTATGAGTTATTTACTATTTCAGTATTGTTTCATAATTTGATTTCAACCGCGGCAAATGTAGATGATGTTTAGTACCGATAGATATTATTTCGTACTGTAGAAAAGACCATTCTGTTTGCTGGCGTTGTTTTAAACAAAATAACGGAGACGTTGAATATAAGAAAGTAGAATAATTTCGAAATGGTAAGTAATCGGAACATATTTTAAACTAATATATAACATTTAGATAATCTTGTGCATTGGTCATGTAAGGTTTTTAGAAATTGATTAAAGTGTATGGTTAATCTCCTATCGCTTCTTGGGACTTGAATGGCATATTCGCAGTTCCCTTTCTTCTGTCGGCCTCTAGGACTTTCTAACAAAGTTACAGCTTCAAGATATTGCAGTGCAGGCACTGAATCGATGGAAAGCAGTATTACCATGTTAGGTCGAATAAAACCATTAGTTGGTAGTTTAATTAGTTAGCACTCGAACATTCTTTATATTCGATCCATGCATTGATTCTGGTTTTAGCTGTGCATTGCAGATGCAGTATTATCATTGAGCTTTGGGTTGTTTAAAAAGTCTCATAGGTTTCTAGCCAGCATAGATGTGACAGGAGATCGTTATTTTTACAGTTGTTAATATGTTCAACCTTTGTTTTGGCTGTTTAACGAGACGAGTAGGTTTTGATCTGCTTCAGATGAGGCTGCAGATGGCTGCTTTCAGACGAGTAGGTTTTGTATATTTTATGATGATGAGGCGATGAGTAGGTTGTGCATATTTTTTACTCTTTGCATCTGATTTAGATTTTCCAATTTCCAACTTTGATCTCACACAGTATTTCTTACAGTACCAAGTTTTCGTTGTCTTATTTTGTCAGTCTAAGAATAGCGAGTGATTTTTGTTGTAGTCTCCGAGAATTTAGATTAACTCGGCCAGTTTGAGAGTGGGGGGAGGGTAAAGACGCGGATGCGTTTAGCACACTATATGCAGTGCAATTCGGTCATTATGCCGAATCTGCATTTCCAGAAGTACCCAACCGTTTGCTGCTTTGACGTCTGCTTTCTGGCAGCGGATGTTGCTGCATTAGCACCACCTGGATTTCTGCACTCCGGACCACGTCCAGAAGCCTGAGGCCAGCGACTCGTCTCAGAACGTCCTATTCAGCCGCTTGCATCTGGGGTCGAATTTTTCAGTCATCGTCCACGACTCATGACTGTAGGTGGGCATCGGGATGAAGATCGACTTCGACAACGACAGCTGGTTCGGGTTAATTTACACAGAACGCCACTGGTTACTCCAGTCCGCGAGCTCTTGCTCCAATCTTCTGTTATCAGTAAACATGACCCAGAAGTTTTTATTCAAGAGGGTTAACATTAGATGATGGATGCGAACACATTTGCTCATTCAACCGTTCTCATTCCTCGTTATACACTGTTCTAGCCATCTATGGTACTACAGATTTTCTGTACGCTTCGATCCTCGTATCGATGCAGACGTATTGGGATCTTGTGTTTTGAAACAGCGTGGTGTAGGAGATAAGGAAGATCGGTCAGAATAAGTTACCTATATTTGCAGTAGACCCGATAATTACCATATTCTTCTGCTACTGCTGTGCTGCTCTTCCTTAAAATACTCAAAACTAATTTAAATTTTCAATGTCGACTTTGCGAAGGGAGAAGAACCTATATTGACGAAGCATGTGCAATTGGAGGAAGTATACAGGTTTCCTGATTTATTTTTTTTTGAAGGATTTACAATGAAGTTAGCAGTTTGAAGAAAATAGCACCGTTGTGCTTTGATGATTGTTGTCATGTTGACATAGTTGTCTAAGAGATCTGCTTCGAACACCGGAAGTGCTGGATTCGATTCTCGCTCGAAGGCAGTCTTTGCCTTACTCATGAATTCCCTTGAACATAGAATTTACCACACGTTGGTTCAAATATTGGAAATGACATCCAATATGTTCCGACTTCAAGTACCTGACTGGATCACTCGCCCTCCTTTCGTCCGAGGTTGATTAATGATCCTTGATCACTTTGTGTGAAGGAAACAGAGGACTACCCTTTATGCTGGCTACGTGGGTGGCTGTAGGCTCTTCCTAAAAAATAAGGCAGTCCTGGGTGATGATATAAAACAGAGATCAGCACTGTACCATCAACTTCTTAAAAATGAGGGCGCCATAATGATCCAGTCATGATAGTTAAAGAAGACCCACATTCCATGGTTGTCCTAATTTGACGACTACCTTTTCGGCGTAAGTGTAGAGTTTCGTTCGATTGTTCGACGCCAAAATGATATTGCACTGAGAAACCTGTCTATTTTGGTTTTACCACAAAGTTGAGGGGAGGAAGCAGTTGGTTAATTTGTTACCAAAATGTCTCTTGACCCTGAATATCCATTCTTCGGTCTTTACTTTTATTAACGAGTACGCCATTTCTCCTGACCAGTAGCGAACATAAGTAATTGCGCAAGATCACTTTGTGAGATCATCTGCTGAAGTGGCGGAAAACATATTTTATGCATTTATTCTGGCACTTGACTGTGCATGTGTCATTGTATAGTGTAAAGAAAAGCGAAGGTAAAACCGATCCCTCCAGAATACTTAGCTCTTTGCTGAAGTAGAAGATTTGCGTCCATTGGTGCAGACGGTATTTAGATTAATATCGAAAGAGCAAAGAATTTTTCACGATGGGCTGTGTTAAATGCTCTGCTGTAGTCCAGAAGTAGGAAATGGGCTTTGAAACCGACTTTGTAACTGCATTTGTCAAATGTGCTAGGGCATCCGCACAGCCTCTGTGCTTTTTGTAGGTGAACTGTAGTTGCTTGCTGCGTAAGTCGTGGTTGCTGTAAAGTTTCCATGCACTTAAAAGGAACTGATATTTCAGCAGTTGGACGGAAATCCTTGCATGTAGGTTTCTTGAGCACGGTTGTTATTGCTGCAATGCACCACAATTTCAAAATGTTTCCTGTCTTAGAGATTTAATTTTAGATACGGGAAAACTGTAAACATAAGTCGTGCATGGAAGCTTTGTGGATGAATTTATGAACTGTAATGAACATGCCAATGTATATTTTCACCGGATGGTTTATCTTTACGTAATAAGGATTATAAACAAATTCGCTCATAGTAAATGTCCAAAACAGAAGTTTGTCCATTCAATGATTAAAAGGCACTGGGACAAGGGTAATACGTGTATTTTAGCTGACGTTCTGCCCATTATCAGGGCACAAGATGAAAGGACAAAACAGAAGCAAAGCTCTATGACTCACCGAGTGTAAGATCTGAATTCGACTGATTGACAGATGTGCAAACAGTTTTTTCATTCATTGAAAACTCTCAGTTCATTTATTAGAGCTTCGTTTTGTCGCTTTTAACGTTGTTCCAAATATTAACATATAAATGGCTGGCTTATCTGTTTACGGTCATCACGTGTAGAAAACTGCCAGATTTTCTGCTGAAGAACTAAACGTCCGTTTTGCGTGAAGCAGCCTCCTCACTTGCAAAGTAGTTGCTTCC